TTGTGAAGTGATTGAAGAAAGTAATTTACACACTGCAAAATTAGTGATGCATACAATCTATATAAATAATCATAAAGAGGCCAAAATATGCAAAAAAAAATAGCATCTTCGGTAAAAGTCGAGCATTAGAAATATAAATAATGCAATGATCAGTCATTTATTGCACATATGTTATTTATTCCATTTACTTTCCTTAAATCTCATTCCTGTTTTTCTCAACTGTGATTTTCTAGGAAAATTTTGGCTTGTCTGAAGGCATACAGCTTAAAATTTGCATGTATGCTCAAATAAGGAGTGTTCACACATCAGTGTTTTTACATATATGTACAACTGGATATATTCCTAATCAATGTCAAAACTAAAAAAATTAATATGCATCAAATGCAAAAAAGAGAAAAAATTAATATTTATCAGATTTCAGAAAATAAATGAGGCTGCATCATAAGGGCAATTTACTGTTTAGTCGATAAAGTATAAATGTTTGCTGAAATTGGTCTTACATCTCTTGTTGAAACGCAATTTCTTGGCAGGCAGCCACAGCACTTGTTGTCTATGTCTGCCCCCATTTCTCGGCATCTTCCACACTTGCACCATGAAGGTGCCATTCCTTCCGAAGGGGTTGGTGATGGTGGATTGTGGCTCGGAGGAATACTGTCCTCACTTTCGCAGAGGTCAAACACTAGTCCTGGCTCTCTGTCAATAAGAGACAGAGAACTAGACTGCGCAGCTTGTCTGCCTCTATACTCTGTATCACCTCCTGAAATGTAATTATGAAAAAGCTGTGATGAAGAATATTATATATCAAAAAATGTGTAGCTATTTTTAAAACCAGTCACAAATGTGGTAAATGTACATATACAATGTACTGTATTTGTAGGTTGCAATCAGACCTGCATTACTGGTACTGCAGTATGTACTGCAGTGGTTTTGCAAGTACTGATACTGAATTACTCTTATGTGAAAGGCAACAAATGACTGTTGTGTTTTCAATGAAAAATGATTGCATTGCATTTCAGTTGACTGGTTACTAAACAATAAGATATGACATTATATATGATGTAAATATTGTTTAAATCATTTAAGTTGTAAAAATGTAATGCCAACCTTTGAAGTAAAGAATAATTCCATTTTTGTTGGCTAAATGATGTTTGCATTTTTTTTAATCTGAAGTGTACACATGTGAAATGGAAATACTTACTGAAACAAAATTAAAATATGCAAACATACATAATATGTTATTCTTGGTTGACAGTGTGAATTTATTCAAACTAGGATGTATATATATAAAATACAGGTACTGTCCTAAAAAAAATACTGGTACTGCTGTATCGGGCTCAAATCTAGTACTGGTACTGGTAATGGTACTGCATAACTTAGCAAGTACTAGTACTTAAATACTACAACCTTAGTACTGATGCAGCTCTGGTTACAATACAACCATAGAAATGTATTAAAAATATAGTTCACTGTACAGTAACAAGAAAAATATTGCACAGGCCTTGAATTATGTTATTGTACCATACTTTGAATATCCTGTAAAAGCCTGTACTTCTGGCATGAAACCTGGCATGAAACATCTTCTAGTGAGTGTCTACCAAGTTTGTTCAAATAAAAGCCCTGGGGTCAAAATTGGCCCCGCCCTGGGGGGTCATTGATTTTCCCTATATGCATATAGTAAAAACTTAAAAAATCTTCTTTTAAAGAACCCAAAGAGCTAGAGCTAAGATATTTAGCATGAAACATGTTCTAATGGGTGTCTACCAAGTTTGTTCAAATAAAAGCCCTGGGGTCAAAATTGGCCCTGCCCCAGGGGGTCATTGATTTTCCCTATATGCATATAGTAAAAACTTAAAAAATCTTCTTTTAAAGAACCAAAAGAGTTAGAGCTAAGATATTTAGCATGAAACATTTTCTAATAAGTGTCTACCAAGTTTGTTCAAATAAAAGCCCTGGGGTCAAAATTGGCTCCGCCCGGGGGTCATAGATTTTCCCTTTATGCATATAGTAAAAACTTAAAGAAATCTTCTTTTAAAGAACTCAAAGAGCTATGGCTAAGATATTTAGCATCAAACATGTTCTAATAAGTGTCTACCAAGTTTGTTCAAATAAAAGCCCTGGGGTCAAAATTGGCACGGCCCTGTGGGTCATTGATTTTCCTTATATGTGTATAGCAAAAACTTAAAATCTTCTTTGAAAAAACCCAAATAGCTAGAGTTTAGATATTAAGCATGAAACATCTTCTAGTAAGTGTCTACAAAGTTTGTTCAAATAAAAGCCCTGGGGTCAAAACTGGCCCGGCCCCAGGGGTGTCATTGTTTTTAACTATAATGTGTATAGTAAAAACTTAAAAAAAAATCTTCTTTTAAAAAGCCCAATGAGCTAGAGCTTAGATGTTTAGCATGAAACATCTTCTTATGGGTGTCTACCAAGTTTGTGCAAATAAAAGCCCTTGGGTTAAATTGGCCCTGCAACATTGGGGGGTTGGGGGGGGCCTATATACAGGTGAGCGACCTCAGGGCCATCATGGCCCTCTTGTTTGGTTATTATTATTGTATGGATATCTATATTTATCTAGATACCCCAACATTTTTGTTTGATTTCATGTAATGGAAGAAAGACAGGGCAATGTAACATTAATCTTTAAAACCACAAGCACTTTTTCAGATACAGCCATATTAAGAACTGATGAAACGGTTCATAAATCACATAATTATGTACCTTCATTTGCTGTTTCCTCTGTCGCCATAGCTCTTCAATCCGCTCTTTGTCTGTCCTCCCTAAACTCGGCTCTCTACTCCTGCTTCTACTGCCTCTTCCTCTGCTTCCACTGCCCCCTCCTCTACTTCCAGTGCCCCTTCCTGTACTTCCACTATCCCTTCCTCTACTTCCACTACCTCTTCCTCTTCTTGGACTTCCTCTACCTCTTTCTCCTCTCCCACGACTACTACTCCTTCCAACCTTCCCTTGTCCCGCCTTGCTCTTCTACCTCCTCTCCCACGAATCGGGGTAAAATCCTCATCCATAAAGTCTTCAATGTCAATCTGCAAAGCAATTCACAATGTCATTGCTAAGGATAAACTTTTATCTAATATATGAGAAAATAAATAATTGGGGGGGGGGGATAAAATATTTTAGATATTATTTTATAAGCATCAAGATTTTAAAAATGGTACAATCACTTGATACATTTCAGGCCTTCACACCTGCTGAATGTTTTCTGCCCCAAAACCAATTTATATACATGTCTTTGTGCCCTTTTTTAAAAATATATATAATTATTTACAATAATGTTACATAAAACTCATTCTTGTGTACATTATCTATCATAATTATGTTGTTTGGTATGGTTTGTAAGCCACTAAAAACAATGCAGCAAAGGTCACATGGCTACTTTCCAGTTTTAATGGTGATACATGGTTGTTGTCGGGATGGGGAAAGATTATCCAGCGAGTCAAAATGTGTATCTCCAAGCCTTGGTGAGCTTTAGCGAGCCAAGATTCACTTCCTAACACACCAGATAAAACTTTTCCTATCCCGATATCTACCATTTATTACATTTATTATGTTTTTGTCTACTTATCATATATACAGCCACGGTGAGAGACAAGTGGTTTGAAGTTTAGAACCCTTACACTAGGGAAAGACCCTTATTTATAATATGTACACAACTTGGTTTAGATTTTAATCCTACATGTGAATGTAGGTGTATAAGTTTGGGGGATTTTCAGGCAAATATTGAATATTCATGGAAATTAAATAGTGTATGAATATCTGTGGAATATTAAAAAAAATCAAATAAAATTCAATCCTGTTGAAGTGTGAGAAAAAAATGCAGTCTGAACTAGACTCAAACACAGGACCACCAAAATACTAATAACTGCCCTGCTACGTCATCATTCCCCAAAACAGTGAACAGTTACATGCATTCAATATAATATTATCAGGATCATTCAAATTCTTTAATTCGACCCCAATTCTTTTTATGGCCATGCAATGACCAAAAATCTTGTCACCCATGCTTGTAGTCCCAATAGTGAATATATATAGTATCACTAAAATTTACAGCCGAAAAGACCAAAATAAAAAAGGTCCAGAACTATTTGTAACGATCATTAAATTTGAGACTGCAGAACATATTTCAAGTCAATTAGATCTACATGTAAATACAAGAAGAAAAAAAACATATAACTTCGCATATTTACAAGTCTCAATAATATCTAATAAGAATTTTGGAGAATATTTGGCCGGACAACTTTTCAATCAGAACTAACTACATCATTAAACGTTTGTTTCACAAGCAATTACAATATAGTTTATCATTTCAGTTGCATAAACGTACTTTTATTTACGGAAACTGTTTACGCTTTTTTTCCCTTCAGGGGCCTCATTCAAGTATTTCTGACAAAAGTCACACAATACGTAAGTTTGTGGCGTCATTCGTACATCAAATGATAGATTTAAACAACATACATAAAATGAGATTAAATACTTATAAAAGATTTGTTATGGTGTGCCAAAACATATCGTTAAACACGGGAAAAACTTACTGAGCTGCTACTCGACGCCATGTTTGTTGATTTCTGACTTGATCTTCGAATGTATCCGAATGACCGAGAGGCGGAGCTTCTTATGCATACACATTTTACTTTCGATTTCGCCACAATGAGGCCAAAAATATTTACGCTCATAAAACACATTTTAATCATCTGAGCAACAAAATAGGAACGAGTATCGCTAAGAAACGTCTATTATTTATGAAATTTTGCTAATTATATTTTTATAAAATGTATTTAGTGTTGCTTTAAACATAGCGTTAGTTGAAATATTCCAACACATTTTGAGTCATATTTCTGACATGTAAAATCCTGTAAGGATATTTTTTCATGTTTAAAGGTTCAATACAAAAGTCGCATCAAAATAGTTTAACTAAACAGTCTCGTTGATAGTCTTTCACAAGATTTTGATAACATGCATTGATTTAGAGTATTGAGGTAATTTTGTTTTCCCTTATCAGCATTTATGGTATCTGCTTTTCAGCAATAATGTCGTAGTGGCGCTTTTTTCTCTCTTCACTTACGATTTTTGCTCTTCCTTCTTTTGAGAGTCTGTGCTTTCTATTCAAGTGAGTTGATAGATACTTTAACACTTTACTGCACAAGGGACAACGAGTAAGGCTGTACTGTTTATCAGTATTTTTGTGATTAGAGCTCGATTTGGAAAGTTTTCTTCCATTTGAAATCAACCTGCGACGTTCAGTTGCATCTTCAATTTTGTGAATCGAAATGATGTGATTAGATAGTTTTTTCAGAAATTTGAAGCATATAGAGCAAATGCCACTTCTGTTTGCCCCCTTCCCTTTAGGTACTTTAATAATAATATTTCCAGACTTTGTGAGGTAGGAATATGTCCATCTTATTTCGGATGTGTTTGTCTTATCTAACATACACCTTGCAGGATCAAAAGTAGAAAAGTAATTCCAAAATAGTTCTTCACCTTCATCTATATCTTTAGCTGCGAACATTGCGATTCTTGGATTTTCCTCACGACTAATTACTAAAGGACGAAATAATTTTAAGTTCGGATTTCTAACATGATTAATTAAACGTGAAATATTGTGTTCATAATCCTGGGTTGCGTCAATACAATATCTTTCTCCATTGTACCAGAACTCAAGACAATACGACAGTTCCTGATTTTTATGGTACAACTGAGCATTTTTTAAATAATCTCCCTGGTCAAATTTTGTACAAACACCTTTATATTCAATGACAAAATCACCTTTTTTGAACTGCTTTCTTGCAAAAACTGATCTTCCTCGATCTTTAACTTCTTTCACTAAAAAATTTGATTTTATCGAGTGTTCGTCCGCACTCATCATTCCCAAAATCATTTTTTCAGCAGCCGTTAGCTCCATTCCTAATGACAATTAGTGAACACTTAGTACTTATTTACATATTTGTTTCGTGCACATACCTTAACAAGTTAATCAGTTTCAGCTGAAGTGTGTTTGCTTGTATTCAGAACAGTCAAATATTATTCTACTGCTCACTTATTTATTTCACAACATGAGTAATATTTCATTTTCATTAACTCAAAAAAATGAGTTCAACCTTAATATGTAACGAATACACATATAATACAAATTAATGTATCAGCTATTTTTGTCATCTAGATAAACGATTGAATAATAAAAATACCAAGAGTTTTGTGTAACTAGAATTATTCAAACTTTTGCGCACATATTAAAGCTCCTAATCACAGCTGCGCACTTGACAAATGATGAAATTATTTTGAAAGATGATATCCAATCCGATTTACATTTGACATTTTTAAATATGTTATTTTTGCAAATCTCAGTTTCGCGGTAATACAAGATATTATTTGCTGTCTAACCTTAAATACATATACGCTCAAGTCATATCTGATCTTATTTGATACTTTTATGTTGTAAACAGTGGTTTTGATATTAATGAGATACGCGCTTAAGTCATTTCTGATCTTGATATTTATGAGTTAAAAAACCTGCATGGCCGTGATATAAAGTGTCTGAAAAATGACACGTCATTTTACAGATTTTTACAGAGCGAGAGGTTTTTTTCTACGAAACAAAACATTTTTGATAAAATGCAAATATAATGCATTTGTAATGTATTCACACCACTAAGTACTACACCTTATATCTTACATTTTAGCTATCATTAACATGTATGCATTGATAGGGATCGGTGTTGTCAAATTTTTTTTTTTCAAGGTTAAACATCCCTAGCTGTTCGGTAATAAAACACATGGCCAACCGCAATTGCCTCAACGTTTCACTTTTTAGTACTGTAGTAAGCAAGTCTATGAAGATACGACTTTTACAGATATTTTCACAGAGATCCGCTCAATTTTAAGACAATAATCAAGAAGAGCGTAGCATTTCTACAAGGTGTCATGCCCGGGTGAAATGAAAAAAGCAACCACACAAGACAAACACTGGTAGACTTTCATCTTAATTATTATCTGAAAGCTAAGCGGATCTCATTAAAAGTGAAAAATTTATCTAGCACTAGAAAGCGTAGCAGACTACACCACGATCATAATTACTTTTTCAGCATATACGAATGAAAAAATGCAGAAATTAATTATTTGCGAAAACAACAAAATGTATAATTTCCGTACCCACGCAGTGCAATTACAGGACATTAGCGCATCATTATTCTTACAAATGTTCAAGGATCGCCATTGCATTATGCACAGGTGACAAGAAAAGCGTCACTGTGAATTACTTTGTGAACTACAAGTCAAAGTTAATATTATCTACACAGCTAATATGCACTACAAATCCGAGTTCAAAATGTCTACAAAAGATTTATACTAAACGTTAGTAACATTTGTTGTTTTTTTATTCCAAGTCTATCAGTCAACTTTATGAAATGTATTTGCAATCAAGTATTTAAAAATTTAGCACACCAGTAAATGGCTGCAAATACAGCTTCATTTATTCAAAGCACATATATCAATCATTGGTAAGGGTCCCTCCGTGGCCGAGTGGTTAGAGTCGCCGACTTTGAATCACTTGACCCTCATCGATGTAGGTTCGAAACCTAGCTTGGGGTGTAGAATTCTTCATGTGAGAAAGCTATCCAGCTATATAAAGGAAGATCGGTGGTTCTACCCAGATGCCCGCTCGTGTCTGAAATAATGCACGGACGGGCATCTGGGGTCTTCCTCCATCATGAAAGCTGGAAGTCGCAATATGACCTTAATATGTGTCGGTACGACGTAAAACCCAACAAAACAAAACAAAAAACCATCGGTAAAATCTGTGGAACAAGGACCTTCATGAAAGGCACAATTCTTTAAAAGTACGTACAACACTTAATTGTAGGGGAATCATGAATGAAAAATACCTTTAATCCTTAAAAGAACAGTTTTATTAATAGGTCTGGCTGTCTTTCCTGCTGCAGAGCTGTCCATTAGCGTCTTTTCATTAACAAGCGCGGATAACATCTTCCTTGCCAAAAGGGGACCTCCAACTTCCGGGCTTTTGTCGTTCCAGATACGTGAATCAAGAATGCTTTGCACCTTAAATTCGCTCTCTTCATCTGATAATAGAAATGCGTATTTATGAATTTTAATGAGGGTATTACTTTCAACAATACTTTTTGTCATGAATTTTCATATAAGATATGTAATATGGAAGAAAATAACTCTAGAAAACGTCCTTATGCAATGCATATTATTCAAAGGGGTTTTAAGATTTTACTACACACTTTAAATACACCTTTTATATGTGTATGAATTTTTATTTTTACAGTTAATTTATTGCGTTTCTAAATGATTTTTTTCGTAATGAAAAATTATTGCATTGAAATGTTTATTAATTTTTCTGCATGAAAATATAAGCTTTAATACACATATAAAGTCTAATTAAATTGTTCAACTACTTAAACCATTGTTGAGCTCTGTGTTTGTGTTGGCAAGCTGCCTGTAAAAGGGTTAATATAATTTCACAACATTAGCAGTGTGTGTCCTAAATTCAGAGCAGGTGTATGCAATGGAAAAGGGGATATCTACCACAATGACATCTCAAATTGTTTGACGCCCGCCCATCATTCGCCAATTCAATAACCAGGATTTTCAAAAACCTGGTAATAGTTTTAAAACTAAACTTACCTAATGTAGGGTATTAAACTTACCTAATGTAGGGTATGTTTCATATAAAAGGTTGTCATCATTGTTTGATATCTGATCCAAGTGCGTTTCCTATAAAATAGAAGTATAATCTGAAAGTGTAGTCCTTTGGAAGCACAGAATGCTTCCAAGAAAAAATAATAGCAGACTCAGTTTTATTGGATTCACACCAACATGTTTTATATAACATATAAATCTGCATATACGGTAAAATGTGTGTTAGCTGTCAACAACGTCCAAAACAATACAGTTTTGACGTTTTGTGTAGTAAACGATAAGTAAATAATACATGTAGTTAATGCTATCAGGAAATAGAATTCACTTCAATACAATTAGTAATATACCTCATTAATGATTCCAATGACCTGTTCTAGCGTATGTCAGTACTGGCATGCGAGCAGTTCCCGTACAGAAGCAGTACCCGTATTCTTCATTTAAACGCTTGATTTTTACATGCATTCTTCAAAAATTCATTTCAAATCAAGCAGATACATAAACGAGACAAAATCTAAGTGTCAGTTCGGCAGTACGTATAAAAAGTCTCATTTAAAATCACTTTCACCTGTGTGTTGTCAAAACGTGACCTTGTTTTATCTGGGGGATTCCGTCCTTGCGCGCATGCGCAAACATACTTACACGTGAGGCATGTTTAAGGGGTTTCCACTAATACCACCTGTTTACAGATAAGAAGGCAATGTGATGAAAACTTGTTTAATTATCAGAATTTTGACCAATATTACTATATAAAATGATTTTATGGCTTTGATGCTTAAAATATCATGTATACAAGCATGCCATCGCATGTGAATGCGTTGGGGGGTAACGGATTTATCTATAGATTTATCTATTTATGTATAGATACACTCGTTTAGTCTACTTTCTATTGCCTGAATTACATCTATTTATCTCTTAGAAAATGGTCTGTTCAACAATTATAAATGAAAAATAGGTCCGATATAATAAAATTGTATAATTATAATGGGTTAAATTTTATGTCTCTTCATACAAAATAATGGATAATTTCTGTACCCCATATGAGGCCTCATATAACTAAGGGTTATTCTATGTTTAGAACATGATGGAATTTCCATGATTTGTGTGACGAGCCGAATATTGATATGTAACATTCAAATTTTGGTGAGTGAGCGTAAAAAAAAATAATGTTTAAGTAACTACGATTTTTGTACGGGAACTGCTCGCATGCCAGTAGTACACAAACCTGTTCAATGTACACTCTGACTGTTGTACAGGTTTACACAATATTGCCAAGTCTGTTTTCAAAAAAGTATTTATGTGTACACTGGTCATATTGCTATTTGCTTTACAGCGTAAATTTATGAATTTTGTATTTAATTTTTACATATTTGGAGATGAGTCCATAAACAATATTTCTCCGTAATGTATTATCACGAAAACCGACATTCATGTTTTTTTTGTTGTTTTTTTTAAAAAATGAGGAATTTTGCATCTATGGATTCTGTTCAGTTTTCATGAAACTCCTGTGTCGTGTCTTAAAATATTGATTCCCTCAGTATAGTTTTTAGTTTTTAGAAAACAAGCCTTTCTTCAATTAAGAAATGAATAAATTTTTTTTCGTCTAATTTTTTAAGGGGACAGGAATTTAACAAAACTGTACATGGCCTTGTATATGACAAAAATGAAAAACATCAACACTAGAATTTCAAAGCGACACTGATGATGCCAACCTATTGTAATGAGTTATATCTGTAATAATCAGGACTGTCAAACACATAAATTCCATTTCATTCATTTACTAATTATGAGAATAGCGAAACGAATTCACATCGAAATACAAAATACACACACACTTAAAATGTAAATACTCTATTTATAATCCATCAAGTAATGCTATGATGTACTGTGCTTATTTTTTCAAAGAGAATGTTTTATTCCCGAGTTTCACTAAAAATCTGCACATGTTTACATGTAATCATTCAAAATGGCGGATAATTTGTGAAAGACATGTATAATATACAAATGACGCACAATTATTTCGAGCATGTGCATTTTATTTGAAATATAAGCACAGTACTTCATAGCATTACTGAAGGGATAATAAATAGAGTATTTTATGTATATATATAGAGTATGTGTATTTTGTATTTCGATGTAAATTTGTTTCGCTATTGTTCTCATAAATAATAAATGAATGAAAAGTAATTTTAGTGTTTTGACTGTCCTGATCATTTCAGATACATGTATAAGTATTATTTCAGGTTGGCATCATCAGTGTTGCATGAAATTCTAGTTTTGATGTTTTTCATTTTTGTCATATACAAGGCCATGTACAAAGTTTTATAAAATTTCTGTGCTGATCGTTATTTTTACAGTTTTAAATTTCTTTTAAAATATAAAAACAACTTACATTGTCATTGAACTGAAATAGTCTAGATCTGCTCTGTTTCTCACTTGAAAATTTATCGCTTCTCTCACTTGTTGTGTCTGTCTTGTATTCTCGGTGTGATGGCGTATTCAAAACTGTTTCATCTACCTGTCCAGATGCAAAATAAGTAGACTTTAGACGTCGGGGAGATCTTCTTAACTCTTTTCCTGGTGTGCCTTTGATATATGTGTCATACTGCTGGTCATCGTCCATTAAAAGTCGACGAAACGATGAACCTGATTGAGGTGTGCTGTGCACGGAATGAAACAACGAACCAGACTGAGGCGTGCTGGGTACAGAATGAAAGGGGGGATTCTGGCTGTAGAACCAGCTATCGTATTCGTCAAATGTGGACTGTGGTTCACTACTACATGTATATGTCACCGAAGCAGCTGATACGTACGGCGGATTTAAGTTGAGGCTTTGATTGTCGATCGGCGTACTACCAAAGTTGCCCAAAGGAAGTCCAGATCGTTTTTCCAAGTTCATTCCTTGAATTGGAGAGGTCATGCATATAGGGTCTACAGTTTTTGACTGTAATGTCTGTAATGTATCAAAAGTGTAATCATAAGCTGGCTTCCGTATCCTTTCAGGACTAAATGTATATGTTGCTGTTTCACATGGCGTTTTTAGTTTTCTTCCTGGACTTCTTATGTCATTTTTCGTCCTAGCTGATGGGTATGACGGATTTGAAAATTCAAGGCTTTGAATATCGGTCGGCGCTTGGCTTCCGGAATAAGTGTTATCATTACTTGACTTCCATTTCTTTTCAGGACTAAATGGATACCTTGCTGTTTCATGTGGTGTTTTTCGTTTTCTTCCAGGACTTCTGGTGTCATTTTTCGCCTCATTTGTTTTTATTTCTGTGTTTGGTGTGGTTTGCATTTCGGAAGTAGCCTGCTTGGTGCTAGAGCTTTTATTCGGAGACATTCTTTTTCTTTCGGGGCTACAAACAGCCTTTGTTTTGGGCGCTGTCTTCGTTTGTGAAGGAAAATTACTAGACGTTGTATCTCGAGGCTGATGTATCTGATGTCCTCCCTAAATATGCTGGACTTGCATAAATGATTAACTATTTGGTGAACAAGCTATCAGTAACTTCAAAGTGTTATGGTGTTTATAATCGCTCCAAGTACAAGTCCTTTGGGGTCTCGATGAAGATCTCAGTACAGTCAATTATAGAATGTAAGTGACACTAAATTTTCTGAACCGTTCGGGTTTAGATCCAATGAGCTCATCAGGACTTGGCATGTATACTAATGATTTCAAAATAGCATAAGATGCACGTAGCCATGCTAAAAATATTCTGGAAACAAGTGACTATGAAATGTCGAACCTTTTGGGCAAATCTTTGTTCAGTAAACCAAACCGAAGTTTCATAAACATAAATAAAAATTCGCTTTTAGATGCCATTTTTCTCATCAGACCATATTTAACAACATTCAGAACAGTCACACGTTTTAGCGCAGCCACGGCACCAGTCCACCTTCGAACAACAAGTGGAGCAATATTATCATGTAATTTATTGAATAAACTAATACTAGTTAATCCAGTGTGGAATTTTACATCATCACTTGTTTTTAAAATTCTGTCACTGTACACAGTCTG